TGCTGCTGCTGCTGCTGCTGCAGCGGGAAGGGGAGAGGAGGAGACAAATCTACATCAAGGACGCATGCTCTTCTTTGCTTAGCAGCACTAAGAAGAATTTCCTCAAGAGAAGCACAAGAACGACCAACACGACGAAATCCTGTTGGCCCTCCGCCACCTGCTGCTGCTGCTGCTGCTGCTGCTGCAGCAGCAGCAGCAGCAGCAGATACACCACGTGGAGGGAAAGGTTTATACCACCATGGACCATCTAACTCCTCTGCAGTGTCTCCACGAACTCGAGCAGTAGCAGGTAAGGAACTGTCTCCTGCTGCTGCTGCACCTGCTGCACCTGCTGCTGCTGCTGCACCTGCTGCTGCTGCAGCACCAGGAGAACGGAAGGGAGGGATAGGAGAGGAGACAGCTAGACTAGGATGCGCAGGAGACACCTCGCACCATCCTGCTGTCCCTCTTCTCCTTAATGGACTCTCTAGCTGCGCTAGCTGCTGCTCGAGCTGCTGCTCTAGCTGCTGCTGCTGCACCTGCTGCTGCCTACTTGTTGGTCCCCAATAGGCAGCAGAGGGGACAGCAGGAGACCCAACAGAGGACTTTGCTAGGCGCTTCGAGTGTCTCCTGTGCTGCTGCTTCCTCCCTTCTTCGCCAGCGCTGCTGCTGCAGCTGCTGCTGCTGCTGCTTGTGGTTGTAGTACGACGTCTCCGCACCTTTGCTGCTGCTGCCGCTGCTGCTGCTGCTGCACGTGTCTGTAGATACTCATCAGTTGGAGACAAACCTCTATATCCTTCCTTAGAATAACTTTCCCTATCTGAGGCATCGGAGACAGCTTTGCTGCTGCTGTTGCTGCTGCTGCTGCTGCTGCTTCTGCTTTGGCAGCTCCATATGGCTTCTCCTGACATATCAGCAGCAGCAGCAGCAGCAGCTGCTGCTGCTGCTGTTGGAGAACCTTCAGCGTCGTCTGTTCCTATGTCCGATGACGCAAAGGCCTCATCCCTCCTGCTGCTGCTGCTGCGCTGCAGCTGTTCCTCTTCCTGCTGCTGCTGATGGTACTGCCGCTGCAGGGGGAGGAGACGGCGCAGCCACCGCAGCACAAGCCTGCAGCGGCTACCTATTGCATGCAGCAGCGGGTGTCCTCCTGTTAAGGAAGCAGAGGAGACAGCAGCAGAGATAGCAGCAACAAGAGAAGCTAACCATATATATGCCATAGTCCTCCCTCCTGTCTCCTCATTCTCTCCGTCTCCTCCTTGCTGCTGCTGTTCCTGCTGCTCTTGCTGCTGCCTACCATTAGCTGGCTGCTGGTGAATATGCATGCGGCCTCGCGGCCTACGCCATAGAGGGTGCTGATGGAGGGGATGAGGAGTGAAGGTGCCCTGCTGCTGCTGCTGCTGCTGCTGCTGCTGCTTCCCCATGTCTGCATGGAAGACACGCTGCATCCATCTTCTTAATATTCCTAAGACAGGAGACACTATTGGGTTAAATGGTCTATGAGGGAGGTCGTATGTCTGCTGCTGCTGCCGCTGCTGCCGCTGCTGCTGCTGCTGCCGCTGCTGCTGCTGCTGCCGCTGCTGCTGCTGCTGCCGCTGCTGCTGCTCTTGCTGTTGTTGCTGGTACTGGTGGTGATGGTGATAGTGTTGCTGTTGCTGCTGCTGCTGTAGTCCTTGAGGCCACCAACGCGCCGTCCCCCCTTCTATGTCTCCAACTGCTGCTGGCATGTGACTAGTATAGTTGCTGCTGCTGCTGCTGCTGCTGCTGCTGGATTGCTGCTGAGGAGCTTCAATGGACGAACGCCAGCCGGGTGGGGCCTCTAAGGGCAGCGGGGCCCTCCCATGCAATGAAGGGCTTGCTGCTGCCGCTGCCGCAGCTGCTGCAGCAGCAGCAGCTGCTGCTGCTGCTGCTGTTGCTGCTGCAGCAGCTGCTGCTGCTGGTGAATCCAATGCATACTCTGATGTTGCCCAAGGAAGAGGACGCTGCAGCACGGAGGACCCCGCTAGGTCTTGTAGGTATTTGTAGTGTACGGACACCAGCTGTTGCTGCTGCTGCTGCTGCTGTGCTTGCTGCTGCAGGTGATGCTGCTGCAACAGCGGAGGAAGCAACGGTGGCGCGGGAAGCAGAGAAGGCATGTAAAAGGGGACAGCTGCATCAGATGCAGCAGCAGCAGCAGCTGCTGCTGCTGCATCCGGTCGTCTCCATGGATCAGGGGGAAGGGGTAGCCCCTAAGGACACAAACAAACACAAAAAGATCCAAGCCATCATTTGCTGCTGCTGCTGCTGTTCTTCCTTTGCTGCTGCTGCTGCAGCTGCAGCAACCAGCGCTGCAGCGGCTTCATCCGTATATGTCGCTTGAGGCAAGCACTACTGCCATGCCTACAGCAGCAACAACAGCAACAGCAACAGCAACAGCAGCAGCAGCAAGAGGACGTACTGTAGGTCTTCTTTGTCTTGCAATGAATTGGAGTGTATAGGCAGTTGGTCCCCGCAGTTGCTGCTGCTGCTGCTGCCATAGTGAGTCCTGCTGCTGCTGCTGCAGTGGCGAAGTAACAGCAAAAACAGCAGCAATAGGTGCAGGAAATTTAAGGAACAAAGGAGCTGCTGCAGCAGCTGGATCTTCTCCTGCTGCTGCTGCTGCAGCAGCAGCAGCAGTATGGTCCCGCTGCAGCATATACAGCAGCTCCCCCTCCGCCCTTAAGGAGGCACGCAGTGTCTCCGTTAGCCGCAGATCATCGGGGTGTCTAGGCAGCTGAGGGTCTCCTCCGAACCCAGCTACATCTACCCAAGAGAGACCCCACCTGCAGCAGCAGCAGCAGCAACAACAGCAGCAGCAACAGCAACAGATGTAGGCAGGAGATACATATATGCACCAACACATTCAATATGCACGCTGCTGTGTCTGCTGCTGCTGCCTGCACTACTGCTGCTGCTGCTGCTGCTGCTGCTGCTCGTGGTGCTTACAGTCTCTTATGGGTTTGCGCACTGACAGCCCAGAGCTGCCAGACGCTTTGTGCAACCAGCAGCTGCTGCTGCTGCTGCGGCTGCTGCTGCTGCTTCGCTCCTGTCTCCGTCAAGTCCTCCGCTTCGTTACCTAAGGCCTCAAGGCGCTCCCCTTTTATGTCCTGACCCTGCAGCAGCAGCATCAGCAACAGCAGCAGCAGCAGCAGCAGCAGCAGCAATAACAGCAGCACTTGGTAGTATGTACGTGTAGATATATTCAGGTAACTATAGCTAGCTACATCAATGTACAGCCATCAACGGGTACCCATGGCTAGCTATCTGTTCCCGTGTCTAGTAGTAGCTAGCCATCCAACTAGGTAGCTAGCTAGCTAGCTAGCTAGCTAGCTATGTGCATATAAATATAAATATAAATATAACTAACCGTAAGTAGATCTATTGCCTTAACAGTAGCATTTTTACTACCAATAAAATAAACATCAGGAAACAAAGGAGCACGAAATGGTAAACGAGATACAACTTGAGGTACTGTTACTTGTAATGCCTGTACACAAACCCTAAACCCTAAACCCTAAACCCTAAACCCTAAACCCTAAACCCTAAACCCTAAACCCTTAATCATAAACCATTATATAATACATAATATATTATATATTTTCATGAAATGGTAAACGGGATACAACTTTAGGTACTGTTACTTGTAACACCTGAGGAGCGCAAACCCTAAACCCTAAACCCTAAACCCTAAACCCTTAATACTGAACCCTTAATAGTATATAATGTATATATAATAATAATAATAATAATAAACCCTTAATAATAAATAATAAACATAAACAATTAATAATAAACCCTTAACAAGACACACTAAACCCTAAATAAGAAACCATTAGTCATACACACACGAAACCCTAAACCCTAAACCCTAAACCCTAAACCCTAAACCCTAGGCAACAAACACCCCTCCTTCGTGCACCCAACAGCCAGCTCTAGCTAGCCAGCTAGCTAGCCATCTAGCTAGTCAGCTAGCTAGCTAGCTAGCTAGCTATAGGTGAGTAATTCTTACCACCATGGTGCCATCAGGTTCAACTAAATACAATCGGCCGTCATAGCCGGGCAGCAGACGCCGCATGCGTCCAGGTGTCTCCTCTGTAGGAGTTGCTGCTGCTGTATCGTGAGCAGCAAATACCGGTGTAGTACAGGAAGGAGGATGCTGCAGTTGCTGTTGCAACCCCACAGTGTTGCTGCTGCTGCTGCTGCTGCTGCTGCAGTCTGCTGCAACAGGAGGAAGAGGAGACGAATTGAATGCAATTGTCTCCGTGCTGCTGCTATGAATATTGCTTCTGCTGCTGGTGTCTTTGTTGCTGCTGCTACGTGTACTTGTGCTGCTGCTGCCGCTGTTGCCACCACTATTACTGCTGCTACTGCTGCTACTGCTGCTACTGCTGCTGCTGCTGCTGCTGCTGTTGGCAACATATGCTGCAGCAAGGGGACTACCTAGATGCGCCTGCCATTGGAAGGCGCCGCTAGTAGAGACACGAAAGATGTCTCCTGTTGTAGATAAGACAATAAGACTCTCTGCTCCTGATAGTCCTGCTGCTGCTGCTGCTGCTGCTGCTTCTCCTGCTGCACTATTGCTGCTCCTGCTGCTGCTACCACCATAGTCTAACTGTTCCCTGCTGCTGCTGCTGCTACTACCTACTGTGTCTGTATCTGATGACAAAGAAGCAACAGATAAAGAAGGAGACTCTACTGTCTCCTCCTCTACATAATGACCCCATTGCTGCTGCTGCTGCTGCTGCTGCTGCTGCTGCTGCTGCCTGTATGGTAGCAAATCCTCTTTTGTCTGCTCCCCGCTGCTCGAGTCGCTCTGTGTTGTCTCTAATGGAGAAGCAAAGGAAGCAAAAGCTGCTGCATCTGCTGCAGGCTCTGCTGCTGTTGTTCCTGCTGCTGCTGCTGCTGCTGCTGTTTCTGAGTCATGAACTGTCTCCGCAGCACTAGACACAGGCACTCTTCCTAGTGCTGCTGCTGCTGCAGCAGCAGCAGCAGCAGCAGCAGAAGCACGCGAATGATGACGTCGGCCCTCCCTAAAGGCTGAGCTGTGGCCCCGCCCCCAATCTGTATACACCGAAGGCCTCGTGCTGCTGCTGTTGCTGCTGCTGCTGTTGTTGTTGTTGTTGTTGTTGTTGCTGCTGCTGTTATTGTTGCTGCTGTTGTCGTTGTTTCTGCTGCTGCTTCTTGGGGCATTGCTGCTGCTGCTGCTGACGCTGCGCCTAACCTTACGACCTGTCTTCCTTTTCTTACCTACACATGTTTGCTTCTTCTTGCTGCTGCTGCTGCTGCTATGGGGTGTACGTACACCGCATGCACGTGTCTGTCTTGGTCTAGTACTAGACTTAGATACAAAAGGCAGTGAGTAGGATGCATGTTGCTGCTGCTGCTGCTGCTGCAGTAGCTGCGGAGAAGACAGGACCTCTGCTGCTGCAGCAACACTTGCTCCTGCCACAGCAGCAGCAGAAGGTTCTCGTGTTGCAGCTTCGGCGGCAGCAGCAGCAGCAGCAGACTCGCTGCTGCTGCTGCGCCGCTGCTCTCTAGATCTAGGGGTACAAGGAAAGAGAGGATCACCTTCTTGCTGCTGCAGTAGCAGCAGCAGCTGCTGCTGCTGCATCTGCTGCAGTTGCTGCATGTCTGTTGTTACATCAGCAGAGAAGGAAGCAGCATCAACAAGGTGCTGCAGCGCAGCTTGGTCTCGCTGCTGCGGCTGCTGCAGCAGCAGCTGCTGCAGGAAATAATGCTTTAGCTGCTGCTGCTGCTGCTGCTGCTGCTCCTTCCTGCTGCGGCGCCCTCTAGTAAGGACCTGACTCTTATAAGCTTTTGCTGCCCTGTGTCTTGCTCCTCCCCCTGAGGGAGAGGTCTCTGCTGCTGTTGGTACTCTACGCTGCTGCTGCTGCTGCTGCTGCTGCTGCAGCTGCTGTTGCGGCTGTTCTTGTTGCTGCTGCTGCAGTTGCTGTTGCTCCTGCAGCAACAAAATCTGCTTACGAAGACGAGCGTTCAGCCGCTGCTGCTGCTGTTGCTGCTGTTGCAGCTGCTGCAGCTGCTCAGCTAGCTGCTGCCGTTGCTCATTCTGGTCTCTCTCCTGCTGCTGCAGCCGCAGCCGCTCCTGCTGCAGCTGCTGCTGCTGCAGCTCTAGGTGCTGCTGCTGTAAATGAAGATGCTGCTGCTGCGCAGCTGCAGCAGCAGCAGCATCACTTGACGGGGCCTCCTGAGGCTCCGTCATGGCTGCTTCTCCTGCTGCTGCTTCTGCTACCTCTGCTGCTGCTGCTGTTGTTGGTGTCTCTGCTGCTGCTGCTGCTGCTGCTGCTTCTGCTGCAGCTGCTGCTATTGCTGTTATTGCGACGTGTGTGTGGCTTCTTCCTCGGTGGTCTGTTGGGAAGGCCAGAGAAAATCCATCCCACCCTCTGCTGCTGCTGCTGCTGCTGCTGTTGCTGCTGCTATTGCTGCTGCTGCTGCTGCTGCTGCTGGACTTCTGCAGCCCGTCTTTGGGAGATGCAGAGGGAGTGACTAAAGCTGCGTCAGCAGCAGCTGCTGCTGTTGACGATGCTGCTGCTGCTGCTGCTGCTGCTGGTGTGGGATAAAGGAAGTGACACAAAAGAAGCAGCAGCAAACCTTGCAGCAGCTGCCACCTTCGTCGTTGCTGCTGACGAACTAGGCTGCTGCTGCTGCTGCTGCTGCTGCAGTTGATTTTGCTGCAGCTGCTGTTGCTGCTGCTGCACGCCTGACGGCGTGCTGGTGAAAAAAAACAAAGTAGGGAGGATTGAGTTGCTGCTGCTGTTTCTCCTCTTGCTGCTGCTGCTGTTGTTGCTGTTGCTGCTGTTCCTGCTGCTGCTGCTGCAGGGTTATGACGGTGGCCGCAGTGGCAGTAACAGCGGGAGGAGAACATCGCGCGGCTGGCCGCTCCACTGCTGCTGCTGCTGCTGCTCCTGCTGCTGTTGCTGCTGCTGTTGCTGCCGCCACTTTTGGCGGCGCTAGAACATGCAGCAGCTGTCTTCCTTGTAGCAGCAGAAGCAACAGCAAAGACCGAGTAACTCCAGCGGCTGCTGCTGCTGCTGCTCCTGCTGCTGCTGCTGCAGTTGCAGCCCGCTGCTAGAACGGAGCGGCGGTGCAGCATCGCATCCTTGCAGGGCAGAAGCAAAAGGACTGAGTTTCCAGCCACAAAAGAAGAATCTGCTGCTGCTGTTGCTGTTGCTGTTGCTGCTGGTGTTGCTGCTGCTGTTACTGTTGTTGCTGCTGAGGGTGGCGAGAGGTGCCGCCGTGTCCGCTCGCTGCTGCAGCTAGAGCCGAGCGTGCAGGTGTATGTACACCCCACCCCCCTATTTGCTTGGATATGATAAAGGCGGCGGATAATTCTGCTGCTGCTGCTGCTGCTGCTGCTGCTCCCCTCTAGGAAAGGAAGCAAACAACGCGTGCTGCTGCTGCTGCAGTTCGGTGTATGTACATCAGCAGAAGATAATGCTGATGATAATACATAGCGAGGGCAACTGCTGCTGCTGGTGCTGCTGAAGA